GACTTATAGGCAGTGATGTTAGGCATGATTTATAGGCAGTGCTGTTACAGCTATTTAGTAAGCGTCCAATCACCTGTCCTTCTCTGTGTCCTCCCCCTGAAATGGAAGAGCAAACAAACCATGTGAAAGAGCTTTTGTGAGTTGTAGAAACTGCTGTCATTTGCAGGCAAATACTCCATAGCAGGGCCTATTACTGCTTATTTATGATCAGTAAATGAACTGTATGATGTAATCAAGATCTATGTATTGAAATGGTTCACATTGACTTTCCATGGGAAAAGAATTATAAATGTAAACACAAAAAATAGGAAATGATTACCTTTTTTGCTAGTCTAATATTAATTTATGTATTACAAACTTCCTCAGCACTCAGGATATTTGGGAGTTTGGGAGCTTGTAAGGTAATTCTGGGGTAGTTGGCATCTGTATGTATGTGATGTTTCCTATAATGTGCTTTACATATTTCAAGAGTATGCAAGAGAGAATGTTGGAATCTATACATTATATTGGTGCCAAACGCCACAGAAGCTATGTGTCAAAGTTGTGGAGCTATATAATATTCTCGGGTTGCTGCATAGGGGTATATTATAGGGTGACAACACTTCTTCCTTCTTTTCCTTTAGTTACAATGTGGGCAATGTAAAAAACAGTTTTAAACAGTATGATTTCAGCTAAAAAAATATATGTATACGTATCAAACTGGAGTGCTTGATATGTGGTTTTCAAAGCAGACCTAATGCTAAACTTTCCCAGCACACTTACCAGCTAGTCTGCAAAAAACAAATTGCCCAATGATTTGCATTGAAAACATGGTTTTAAACAACAAGGTTTTAGTTGCACAACTTTTGTGGAAGCCACACTGCCTTATCAAGGCTCCTCTGTGTAGTTTGGTCCTAACTCTAATCTATGAGAGCCTCCATCTTCAGCATAGCAATGGATAAATTGATTGAAGGTATGCCTGGAGGTAGCCCATTCCTCTCCATTGTGACCACTGATGTACATAATACGTTGGTGGCAGCATGACCCTGCAAACCGCCAGGACTCTGTTTAACTGTGTAAAGCCGGGTGCCAGCTGTACAATAGAAGCGATTCTATGGGCCGCTAAAGTGCCCGACACCCCCGCCGTGTTTCCCGGGCTCCGCTGCCCCTTCTGTTGGCCCAGGACCAGCATGTCAGCTGGGTAAGAGAGCGGCGAACATCGGTTCACTGATTCTCTTCCACTATGGGGCCAGGAGCTACACATATTGCATCCCTTCGGGTCCCTGAGCTGTCATTGCTCGGCTCCTGAAGCCCAGCAATACGCTATTGAAGTGTGATCTGCACTACAATAGCCTATTTAAAGTGCAAAGGTGATACTAGGGGTCTTCTGGACACCCAGTATCACCTTTAAAAGGTGTAAGCCCCCTATGTGATGGCAAATAAAGTAGAGTTAAAAAAAAAAAGTTTTAAAAAATAATATAGACTAAAATAAATGTAAAAATAAAATAAAATGTAAAGTCCCCCTCGAGCATGTGCGCATTCACGCAAACACGCGCCGGGTGCACCTACGTATGAAAACATTGATCGTACTTCACATGTTTGGTATTGCCGCGCACGCCAGAGTGAGAGCAATAATTCTAGGGCCAACAAACATGCGTATCTCTAAACTGATGACCTGTAGGGACTTTTAAAGCGTTGTCAATTGACTTTTTGGGATACTGAATTTGTTGCCGTTTTTAACCTGGGTTTGTTGGTACTTTATTGTGTTTTGGGGCACTAAAATTAACTTAAGTGCATTTTTCACAAAATTTTGGGGTGTGATAAAGAGTTGTGCCAATATCTTGCAACATAAAAATGTGCATCCACCACCATTTATTGTACAGGGTCTTGGCTTTCAGAACATACATAATATTGTGGGGGGTTGAAGTAATTTTCAGGCCTAAAATGTGGATTATATCATGTGTGCAAAAAAATGAAAAAAAGGCCTTCGACAGCAAAAGGGTCCTTATGGGGGTTAAAGGCACAAGAACACACCAGAAGCCCCGCACATCACAATGCAGCTGAAGCCCCCAGTGTCCCTACAGGGTTCCTTGAGTATCCTGATTCTGTGTATGACCCGATCCTGGCTGATGGTCTTCTCCTGCTCCTGGCTTGTTCCTGACAATGCTGATTTCCTGGCAACACTGATTTCCTGGCTTGCTCCTGACGACGCTGATCTCTGTGTTCCTGGCTTGGACGACTACACTGACTCTGGATAGTTCTGGTTTAAGACTCTGCTTACTCCTGTGGATACTGTTCTTAATAAATATTTTAACTAGCACCTTTTGCTTGTCTGGTTTTCATTGTGCTCTGACACAAATCCAGCAAAACAAAAATGGCAACCGCACAAATCTATTTATAGCTAGCTTTTAAAATAAGGTGCACATTTTTTTTTTTGTGTGTTTGTTCTGTGCAAGCCCTTCAATGTGGACCTTACTTTAAAAGCCAGTTATGAATTCATTTGTGTGGTTGTTTGCTGCAGGGTCTGTTGATCCCAACACTCTGTTGTTTTCTTAAATGCTTACTGTAAGCCTGTGTACCCCCTTAAAAGAAGACTTTAAAGCCCATTTCCGCCTTTGCAGAGGTAGTTCTAAAAAAACATATGCCAGCAGTGGACAGTGTATTGTGTGTAAAGGCAGAGCTGGTGTTTAGTGATTGTGTTACAATAGGTGACAGGAAGGGGGGCAGCTGTTTATAATTTCCTTTGGAAAATTTTTAGGCTTCAGGTCTAATAAAACCTTCATAAAAAAAGGAGGAAAGCCTGCAATGTGCAGACATCCCAACTGTCCCGGACGCTTTGGGAGTCTCCCGCTATTAGATAGCGGTTCATGGCTACCCGGGAGAGAAAAATTTTCTCCTGGAAAGGTTTACTCTGCTCGATCTAGCAGAGTAAACCTTTCCCTGCTATCTTTTTTTTTTTTTCTGACATGGGGCCGCCGGCCGCCGCCAGTCAGAGAAAAAAAAACAGCATAGGAATGCATAGCTAGATTGCTATTGGCTATTTGACTTTGCAGTAGCCAATAGCAGACCAGCTATTGCACCTGCCCTCTGCTGCTGTCAATCAGCAGAGGGGGACCAGAAGTTCTCCATCAGGTCCTCTTCTAGTGATTGACAGCAGCAGAGGGCGGGTGCAATAGCCAGCTTGCTATCGGATATTGCAAATTGAAATAGCCAATAGAAATCTAGCTATTCATTCCTATGCTGTTTTTTTTTTCTTTTATTCTGACGGTTGCAGCTGTCAGAATAGGAAAAAACAAAACAGCAGATGGCAAAGAAGCTATTGCTTCCCATGCTATCTGCCATCATTTCAGGGGGGTGCTCCCCCCCCCCCAGCAGAATGCAGTATAAGGGGAAGCTGCATTGCACAGTAAGGTCATTCAGAGATGTCCTTACTGGACATGTTGTGTGACTCTCTCATGAATGTGCAGTATGTTTCCACTAACTACAATATTGTAGTTCTCAAATATTGCTGTTGAATTTTTCAGCCCAGTGAAGAGGACAGTCCAGTGTATTTTCTCCAATACACTCGTCACATCCCCACACCGAAACATATACCAAAAACTTTAATTCCCAGTTATCAGCACTGATTTCTCAAACAGGCAGATAACAGAGATGTGGTCAGCTGTGTTCACAAACTTTCTGTTTGCTTTGACAATGACGTCCAATGGTCAGTTCTGTAAACCGTTTTTCATGTTAGTGTTTTTAGATATTCACGTAAAGGAGATAAGCTTGATGTAAACAGTTAGTGTGTGTTAATGTTTACAAAACGTTGTTCCTCGGTTTGGTTTGTGATTTACATCATAGATGTACATGGCAGTGACCATATTGCTGAAAATAGGTGCATTACTGTGTCTTACATTGCAAGTCTATGGGTCTGCTGGTTCACTGAGAGATGATATCGTAACAATTGATAAACCAAGCAGTGAGTCTAAAGAAGAGATGCCCCGATGCCTGTTTATGTGAACCAATGCACTCTTTGGTCTCTCCCACTGCCCCTACCTCACTACTGTGTTCTGTAGTGATGCCGCCAACATACCTGCGTCTTCTATTACATAAATGTTTTTATTTTAATGAGACATTCACTTTTAGTGACCTACAAAGCTTGGTCTACTACCTACATATAAAGCTAAATGTAGAAAAATATAGATATTTATAAATCACTTTATTTAAAATACCACATTAATATACATTTAATAAAAATACACTATACTAGTTATTAGTGTTATGAAGTTCCTCCAAAATGAATGTTTGTCTTGTTCAATACAATTTCTAATTCTATACTACTGTAACCTATACCAATAAATCAAACTATGGAGTGCTGACTAAGTGTAATAATACAAGAGTCATGTTCTCTGGATACTTGAGTGAATATGCTCCAGGGAAAAAAAGTATACCAGCCCAGTTCAAAATTGTTGTTCTTCCTGTCAATTTTACAATATGAAGAGCACCTCACAGAATAAACATGCTGACAAGGTAAAAGCATTACATGTACACCAGAGAGTGAAAAGTTAAGAAGGTCTTTCGGTATGCAGTTAATATCCAAGTGCCCTCTTATGACTGTGGCCAGTTCATTTTGCAGCTACTTGTAGGTTTGTTTGATGCCACAAGCATTATACAACTTTCCATGAGATTGTCCTATCTAGTTCTGCTTGGTAATGGTGCAAGCAGTGGGCACCAGCTTTTTTATTTAAAAAAGCGGTATACAGTGGCATGACGAGAAGTAATGACTACAAAAAGAAGTAACCCAAAGCAGCCCAAAAAAATCCCTTTACTGTAGTCGAAAAAGCAAAAGGTCAACCCTAATGTGGTTTACTGTACAGTTTTCATAGTCCTATTATAAATAACCTGCAAGTGCTTCTTATTATTTCCCTTTCTATGTAGGATGCTCTGTTAACATTTGATCTTTCGAATGTGATATTTCTCTTGAGTAAATGCATTGACTGTAAATAGCTTATCGTTTTCTTTTTTCTCCCAGTTTAGAGAGAAGATATCATCATGGTTCCATGTGGACCAGCTTTGTCATTAGCGCGATGTTTACTTCGCAGGAAAATTGTAACATTGGACAGTCTTGAGGATTCCAAACTATGTCGCTGCCTTTCTACTGTGGACCTGATTGCCCTGGGAGTTGGAAGCACTCTCGGTGCTGGAGTCTATGTTCTCGCTGGAGAAGTTGCCAAGTCAAACTCTGGTCCCAGCATTGTGGTTTCCTTCCTCATTGCTGCACTGGCTTCTGTAATGGCAGGTCTCTGTTATGCTGAATTTGGAGCACGTGTGCCAAAGACTGGCTCTGCATACCTTTATACATATGTCACTGTGGGGGAACTCTGGGCTTTTATTACTGGCTGGAATCTAATTTTATCTTATGTTATCGGTAAGCCTTTTTAATTATTATGTATGAGAAGTCTTTACTGCTTTTTTGTTTAGGTTGACCTTAGAAAACATATCCTACCCTAAGTAAACAGGAAAAAATGGCGTCTTTACAAGCCCTAGCCTGCAAAAAACATGTTCATAAAAAATCTGATGCTTAATGGCTGTTGGATATGCAACTGAAATAACATTCTGCCATGTATTTTTTGAAATGTAGGAAACCCTTTTATATTTTATAGGAATATATGATATTTTTGGAAACTATTCAGTGTACTAAACTGCTCTTACGATGACTAATTCTTAATGTTTTTTGTTTTAAAAAACAAAGGTATTTCATGATATTATGGGTTAATTATTATTGTTCATTGTAATCATTAGATTATTTCCTTTTCATTGTTGTGTGTGTAAAGACCAACAAGAAGGGCAGTTGTCCTTAGTAACATTTGATTGATTGGCCTAGATACCTTATGTTCTTCTGTGCTCACTTTGAGACAATTTTGTTCTTCATATTGCTAACCTGTGGCAGCACTGTTATTTCCTTATCAGAAACCTGTAAAATGAGAAAAATCAATGTTTATTACTAAGAGGAGTGCTAATTTGAAATCCTTTGCTAATTCTGATTAATTATTGAAATACATTCTAGGCCCCTTTTTCTCTTTGCTGTTTATGTATTAGTCATTATAAAGCAGTGTCTTTTTTTCACAAACTCTTGTGTTGGATACACTGTGTGTAGGAAGCCAATTTGTGGACATATCTGCCAATATGACTCACTGTTGCAGCCAGTACATTTACTACTATGGAAAGCAAGGAGGAATATTGTGCCAAAACTACTATGTTCTAATTTCCCATAGTAATCACAGTAGTTGCTTTCCACAACACCCAACAGCCATGACAACACATGCATTTACTAGTAGCCCTTAAAGAGGACCTAAACCTGGGAAGCTGTGCCCAAAAAGGGCAAACAGTGGGCAAAGGACTAGTCAACAGTAATACCTTGTGTCTGTCTGCAGCTCATCTTTCCCAATTACCATGCCCTTTTCTGCTCTGTGTGAAGGCAGCCATCTTGGTAGAAACAGGGCTTTGCTTCCTCACATTGGAGCTGATTCCCTACCCCTTCCCTGAGGACTGGGGATCTGATGACTGGTGAAGGAATATTTAGGGAGCAGCAAGAGAGGATTAGAAATGACAGATCTACAGGATAAGTGAAGCAAATGGCAGGGAGATCCTTGCACTGTAGTACTTCAGGTACTGCTTCCTCTCCAGCAGAACAGTAGTAATATCACTAAACCTCACTCCAAATTTTGAGGTGTGACCAATTACTTTTGCCCATCATTGTATATGTTTGTGCAGCCATAAAGGAGGAGAAGCCAGTGGGACTTTAGCAGAGGTGTCTGTTTGCTTTACTTTTCATAGAAAGTTTCCTGCTGGCCACCTCAAGCAAATATTCTCTATTGTCTAAAGCTACCTTTTACAGTGTGTTTTTGCTAACGAAGATTAGAAACCCAGTCACTGATTGTGAAGAACTGTTTAAACATGGCAATAATGTGCAAAACACAAATCTATAGCCATAATGTTAACCCTTTCCAGCTAACAACTTTGCCTATACATTTAATAATCTGATTATCCATGCATGTTGGATTATCATACAAAATGTCTTATCTGCATGAACATCAACAGTAATAGTAAGTATACATATTATTTTACGGGTTACTATGCGCATTAGGGGTGTGTGCTTGTTTACTGCATGGAGGTTGTTTTATTGCTGTATTTTATCCTTCGAAGTCTGTGTACCATCTAATATAAGAAAATAAATTGCAGTCCCAAGACTTGATTGGAGATTTCTAAACATTCCCCCTTTTTTGCAGGCACTTCAAGTGTAGCAAGAGCATGGAGTGGTACATTTGATGAACTTCTGGGGAAGCAGATTGGCCATTTTTTTAGAACCTATTTTAGGATGAATTCCCCTGGCCTGGCCGAATACCCTGATTTTTTTGCAGTTTGCCTTATTTTGCTTTTGTCAGGTAAGAACATAACAAAATGTAGGCTTTCTTTGCCTCCTTTGCAAAGTATAGTCACACGGTTGGAAGCGCTGTTCTTGGCACTTCCACAACCACTTTTAGACTTTTGAAGGTTATCTGATCCCCTCTTGAACTTCTTGGTAATGAAAACATAAACCTTCCACTGATGCATGAGCTTATCACTCCTGATCATTTAGCATCTTGTTACTTTTTCAGGTTATTGGTTGGGTATGTCTTTGCTGTCTTCATAATTTTGTTACACACACACACAAAGCATTAAGTCACAATTGATAGTCTTAGTGTCACATTCGTATCTTGAAACGAATGTGTTAGCAGATTTTGTTAGCAGATTCCTTGTCGGTACGTGTGCTTGCAGAAGAACCTGATTGGTGCTAGTGCTTACCCTTCCTCTGACATCTGCTGTACAGAGGTTTACAGGTGGCTGATATCAAGGGAGAGTCAAACACTAGAGTCATTTAAAAAAGTGCAACAAATGATGTTTTCATATCAATATGGAGTCCTCTTTAAAAGCAGGCTAAGCATGCATTTCTACTGCTGATAAATAATCTGAGACCATGTTTGTTATTGCAGCAGCTGAGAGATGTTTGTTTCAAAAGATTTTATTAGAACTGAGTAACATGAAAATAATTGAAATAACAACATCTTGCATTCCAAAATTCAGAATTTACAGGTTGTAAGGCTGACACACATGTGTCTATATAATATGACTTACATATAGTAAGAATACATAGATTAGTGGTTTTATGAAATGCTTTATTAACTCAAAGTATATTCAGTCTTCGCTTTGCGCAGGTTTTGGTAACCAGAGCTATGGGCCGAGATTAATGCTCTGTTGCTGTGGGTGTGGACTGTGGATGAATCTCACTTTGCTTACAGGACCAAGGCATTTTAAAATGCAGCACAACAGAGCTTTATAGTAAAGTTTAAAACCTTGTTACTCTTCATGGTTGTTCACATCCTGTTCTAAAACCACATGATCAGTCCTGACAGTTATATTAGTTTTATAGTTATCCAAGAATCACAGACTTAAGCTGAAAAAGTAGGCTATCCTGACAGAGGTCCTCATTATCTTTAAAAACTTAATATCTCAAACACAATCATGCTTCTCATTATCAGGAGATTAAGACATTTTCAGACCATGTGAATTAACTTTAAAAGATCATGTGCTACAAATGTTCTTCAGATTTAAATTTTGTATAAATTTCAGATTTAAAAAAAATTATATAGCACTTGTTTATTCTTAAAGTCTCTCCAATAACCCTTTATTTTACATGTCTGGAAAAGTAAATAACAGAATCTGGCTTTCAGTTTTAAATGGCGTACTTTAAATGCTGCTTTAATTGAAATGAATCTGTGGTCAGGCTATGGGCAGCCAAAGAATTACATTGCATACTAAGAATTACAATATAGTTTTTTTTTAAAAACAAAAAACTCCAAATGAGCAGGCACTGTGGAGTAGTTGGGGCTGAAGCTTTACAACCAGAGCAAATTGAAATCAAGTCTCTCTCCCAGACTGCCCTGCAAACCTTACTCTGTCCCCCTCCTATCTATGACCCTGCAGCTGTCACATGAGTATGCTGGTCAGCGTCGGCTGTATGTTTTCAGGGTTGCCATGATGCAGCAAATGGTTCTCTTAGAGAAATTAATAACTCCTGTGCTTTAAAACACCACAATACAGATGCAGGACCTGTGTCGATGAGCTTTTGTTGGCAAATACATTGGGGTGCCATTCAACCACTGATCATGGGTTAACAACATGGACTGTAGTAATGTACAGTACCCTAAAACTTGGGTTACTGCAATGCATCAGTGCGATTAGGGTCTAAGGATTCACTTTTTACCTTCTAAATATCCTTTTCTATTGTCTAGGCTTGTTGTCTTTTGGGGTGAAAGAATCTGCCTGGGTGAACAAGGTGTTCACAGCTGTCAATGTACTTGTCCTTTTATTTGTGATGATTGCGGGGTTTGTGAAAGGAGATCTCCAGAACTGGAAGATATCAGAGTCATTTCTCCAGAATATCTCTGCTCCACCAGGGTAAGACACACTGTCATTAAATGGCCTCATTTTGTGGTGGAACTGTAATTATGAACACTTTTTTTTTTATAGTTCCTGTAATGACTACTGATAGAAATGTTACTGGCTTGTGAGGCTGCTCCATCATTGATACAGCACAGTGAGTGTTGTATTCAGGGTTACAGATGAGGTTTTGCCTGTCTGCAGGCACATATACATACAACATACACTAACACTTAAACTAAGATCACAAATACATTTCAACAGCTTAGCATAGTCAGAATTATGATAAATAGATGAATGGATATGATGCCTTGAATTTATTCCTCATTGCACATTTTCATTTGTATTTAAAGTTTTTTAAAGACCATATTGTTTGGTAATGTCTGCTATTGAAACAGAAATAGTGATTATGAGATAAATATATACTGATTATAGCTTGAGCATTTTCTGTGGTGATAAAAATAAAATCCCTGAATAATCTTTTATAATTGTATGCATCTTTTTTCAATCAGCAATTATGTGTCATATGAAAATGTGACAAGTATACACGGGGTCGGAGGCTTCATGCCATATGGAATGACAGGGATGCTGGCTGGTGCTGCTACTTGCTTCTACGCTTTCGTTGGATTTGACTGCATTGCAACAACCGGTGAGAACTAGTGGGCACACAGCCTTTAAATAGACCCCGAGGTCTTGATAGGCCAGTACAACCAAGCTAGCTAGAATGTCAGCACAGCCATAATTAAATTACTGATCGTCTTAGCAGGATCTTTCTGCCAGCAGAAAATGGTCAGTAAAGTTCTTGCATTTACATGCATATAGATGTATAAACATTTGTACAGTGTTCATACACATTACATTTTTCATCCATGCTTTTCCAATAAATGCACATTTTCCGATCTTTATGCAGCAGTGTGAATGAGTCTATAGAAAACAATACGCTTGCATTAAAATGTAAAAAAAAAAAACAATCTACTGATAAAAACACAGTTTTTTATGGCCCTGTGTATAAGCCCCAAAAGTTGGAATACAAATTAATGAAAAGAAAGGAATCTTACAAATATATGGCTTGTGATTGTACAATTTTCATATGTCCTGTCCCCCCCCCCCCCCCCCTAAAAATATTGATTTGATAAACATTTGCGCAAATATAATGCAACATAAAAAAATGCAGCTGCCATTTTTTTTATTCTACAAGGCCTCAGCTTTCACAAAATATATACTTGTTTGAGGGTTTAAAGTAATTTTCTATCCAAAAATTCAGATTTTAGCATGTGTGTGCAGAAGTGTTAAAACATCCATGTTCCTTAACCTAAAACATGGCTAAAACAGTCTGGTCATGAAGGAGTTAAATACCATGCTTGGGGGATGCCCTGAAGCTGCATGTGAAGATGCATAACTGTATGTAAAATACCAGGCCAAAAGTACTGCAAAAGTAAAAAAAAAAAAGGGGGGGCGGCCACCTAAAAATTCATACCAGGATACCTTATCCAGGCATGCTGGCCAGGAAAGAGGGGTCAGCAAGTGTGCATGTGCCCCCCCCCCCAAACCATACCAGGCCACATGCCCTCAACATTGTGAGGGTACCTTGCAGGGGGGCTAATGCAAAGCTTTCTCTCACTGCTAGGCACCTTGTCCTCAAGTTGAAGGGGACAAGGGCCTTATCCTCACATTCCTGGCCTGGTGGTAGTGGGGGTCTGTGTGTGTGTGTGTGGGGGGGGGGGATTGGTATCTAGAAGCCCCCTTTACAAAATCCCCCCAGATATCTGCACCTATGTGAATGAGCACAAAAGCACAAAGCATACTTTGTTACTCCAATCATAAAAAAAATCAATAAAACAAAAACACAACGTTGCAAACGTCCTTTTAGTTAAAAAAATAAACAATGTCCCAGAATGTAAATCCAGTGTCAATGACAATGAACGGAACCGCAATGATCCATGGACCTGAAGACCTGCAGTAGTGATACTGCCACTAAATTAATTACTTCTGGCTGCAGCAGCCAGAGCTTGGGGTGGAGAGATCGGCCAAATCTGACCATTTTGTTTTACCCGCTTAGCGAACTGTGAGCAAGCTGTGTTCAGGCCGAATCTCATCCCTACTAAAGAACAATTACCCTATGTGAAATGGATGAGTAGAGGGAGAGGTGTTCTGTAGTCCTGTCCTAGGCTAGTGTGACAACACTGCTCCTCCATTGATACAGCACAGATAGTGTGCAATGCCATCCAAAAACCAGAAGTGTGTTATTAACGGGTTGTATATGGTTGAATAAAGAGTTAATGGTAGGACGGGGTGCATGAAGTGAATATAATATTATGATTGCTTTGCAATAGAAGTCAAAATGCAGATAAAGATACTATGCCTGTAGTTCGAATTTCCTTTTTGAAACAATGATTAAGGAGTCTTTCTCAATCTGCGCTTTGACCTGTTTACTTGCAGGGGAGGAAGTGCGCAATCCACAGAAGGCAATACCCATTGGAATTGTGACCTCCCTGCTGGTGTGCTTTATGGCGTATTTCGGAGTGTCAGCGGCTTTGACCCTAATGATGCCATATTACTTGTTAGACGAGAAGAGCCCACTGCCTGTTGCATTTGAGTATGTTGGCTGGGGTCCTGCTAAATATGTTGTGGCTGTTGGTTCTCTTTGTGCTCTCTCAACCAGGTAAATACCTAACTTCCTCCCTCTAAAATGTGGAGAAGACTGTTTCAAAACTCATTGAGGGGAATTTATCAAAACTGGGGCAGATAAAAACTGGAGCAGCTGTGCATGACAACCAATAAGCTTTTCTCTTTCATTTTCAAATCTTAACTGAACAAACTGAAGAGAGAAGCTGATTGGTTGCCTTTGGCAACTGCTCTAGATTTTGTCTGCTCCAGTTTTGATAAATTCCTTCCATTGTGTTGAAAAGAGTGCTTTGTGCTGAGTAGGACACATTTTATAGAGAGTGGATTTCTCTAGATCTTACCACAATTGTGATTCTTGTGAAATTTATTGAAATATAATTACAGCCTGATTCTCCCACCTAGAGCTGTTTTAACCAATAACTGTGCATTTATTTTTTAATAGTGAATCCTGTGAGCTTATGTACCCACAAAAAAATATTCTGCAATAGCTATTTACTTAAAATTAACCCTATTCTTTCCTATCAGCTCATACACAAATTTGTTGTAGAATTAGAATTTTTTAAAGAACACTTCCTCCTAGAATGTTATTGTACCCAGAGTCCAACCCATTTCTCTAGCTATGTCCTAAGCCACCATGCTGGCACTTGGTGCTGGCCTTTGCTTTATTTTGCCTGGAAGCCATGCTAGTAAGCATCAGACTTATTGTTGTCATTAATGGGCAGTTCATTTCTGAAGAACTACAGAGTGGGAGATATTTGGCCATCCTGATAAGCTAAGACCCTTCTCAGTACTCAATACGCAAGACTTTAATCAGGCCCCCAACTAGTGGGAAATCTCCCTGCACAGTAATGAACACCTCTGGCCACCAGCAGCATGTGTTCTCATCTCCAGTTAGTTTAATAATGTCCCCATTATCACAACTGATGTCTTAAAGGGCATTTCTTGTAATTATAATGCTATTCTATTTATACTTGTTTAGTAAGGCCCAGTTCTTGCATTATTGGAACAGTCAAATGCATATTGAACTGCACACAATGTGCATGATGAGATTTGTGCCATTATAATCAATTGCACAGTTTACATCTCTGCACTTTTTCATACATTTCCAGTGACACTAACTATGGGAGCACAGATCCAGTCATGCATTGTGCATGCTGTTTATTACATACATTTCAATACATCAAAATTTCAAGCGGATGGGATTCAATGTTGTGCCATGAGCAAAGATAAGCTACAATGTGCAATAACCCATGGCAACCAATCAGAAATCACCACTAATTTATATGTGCTGACATCAGATTAGTCGCCGGATATCATCATTGTTCTTTGTATTTTCTCATGAAAGGACAAAAACGGAAACTGGTTATTAGAATTTGCATAAAACATTTTATAATGTATGCAGATTATTTAAATGCTTGAGTTCAAATTCATTTGAACTAGGTTTCCACCTTTGGCTGTCAAGGGAAAATATAGTATATTTTCAATGAACACATATTTTGAGTTGTTAATGCACTGTATATTTTTAGTATAGTTTTATTTATGTGATGCATTTTTACAAGGTTACTCTAATATTTTTGTTCTGGTACTAAATGCAACATTTGTAAATAATCCACTAGAGGGAACTCTCAGTGGCTCAGTGTGGTCACTCTGTCTCCCTTGCTCACCAACTGTTAAAATTACAGCCACATAAAGAGTGCACCATATGCAATTGGTTGGCAGACTCATACACTTACATTGTAAAAAGGAACAGTAAAGTACAGCTGTGTAGCAGTGAGAAGCAGGAACCAGAAGTTGCATATGTAATGGGCAGATATGGCTGCCCCTACATTCATAGTTAATTACTATATATATATAGATATATATAGATATATGTATGTATGTATGTATTTAACTGTATATTTAGCGGTTTGCCTCCGGTCAGCTATAAATGTGTAAATATAATGCCAATTGGTTTTTAAATTGTTCAGATTGAAGGCCACAATCTCTCCAAAATTTCAGCCACTAATACGACAGCTGAAGAGTTTTTTTGAGCCCTTCATTCAATTTCAGACACAATTTTCAATTGTGGGCTTCCTTGCCTGGCTCCGCTTCATGGGCCTGCTGAAGCTTAGTGCAGTGGTGGGGATATGTGCACCTGGCATGAACCAAAACACAAAAAGAATATGCTTATGTAATAAAAAAGCACTTACAAAGAGTCAGCATTCTGCATTCATTACAGGGAACTGAATTATGGTTTTCAGCATATGTGTTTCTGCTATGGGGCTCTATACTTTTCTTGCTCTGGACTATGGAATTCTCAACCTCTACTTTCAACTACCCCTTACAGCTTATATCTGAAAGATTTTTTTTAACATTGTGTACAAGGCATTTTATTTAGATGAATGACTTCAGATGTATAAAATAAATAATTAAAGCCTAAGTGCATACCCCCCAGTGGTGTATACAGTATACAGCAACCCTGATCTCCTTCCCTGTCCCTTTGTCCATAGACACTTATTTTTCATTATCATTTTAGTTGGCTGTTTGCCTGTCATCACCTTTAAAATGGAAAAAAAAATGGGAAGGACTTGCTCAACTATCTGATTTGATTAAATAATCAAATTTGTTCACCTAGGAAACTTACAAATATTTTTAAGGGGGGGTACTTGAAAGTAGAGTTAAGAAACCCAGGTCTAAATAATCACAATGATATTTATGCTTGCCTTATAATTATGTAAAAGTTAATAAACTTGGAGAAAAACTCAGAGCTTCACTGTGTGACTGTTAACATAATATCGAGCACAGCTTAACAGACACAGATAGAGCATTCCTAGTCTCTGTTTGTTACCAAGGATATGTCCTAAGGAGACAGCTGAGAATTTTGCTCATCTCAAACTGATTAAACAGCTATCCAGTATTTAATGTTTGTTGATGACAATATATCTTACATTTATTACAAGTCCAGTGCATCCAAAACTGAATATGTTGAGTTGAACTTACATGCTGACTTCTTACTTTTTTTAGGGACTCCATCAGTGGCAACTTCCAATCTATGGAGACCCATTTCTCTTGCTAGAAAAATAAGTAGTAGGCATTGGTAAAGAGAAACTGATAACTTCTAGAAGTAGATATACCGATATACCGTAGGTGTTGGTTGGAGGAGCCACAGCATGCCGCTGGGAAACAGGAAATTGACATTTCCATAATTGTTGTTCAGAAGTAATGTCTGAAGGATTGTCATCAGCAGGCAATTTCTCCTTACTAGTGCTCCTAATGGTGGCTCCTAATAACCCCTTTATTTAAAGTTTTAGCAACAGAATCTAACTGTGAAACTAAGGCACCCACAGTAGTTCAAGGAACATGGGTGTGTGGGTGCAGGGATCTCAGTTTTGGGTAGACTGACACTTTATGGCTTGAAATCTGCTAAAACTTGGTAAAAAAGGATGCAGGAATGCTCTGTATATAAAGTGACACCTGCTGGGATTAAGATGGGTGAAAGCTAACATCTTCTGATGTTCTAGGGGGCTACTGGCTCCATTAATTCTCTATAATCTCAAGGCTTTGTATACTGTGGTGGTGGCAAGTTAACTGTAATTTTCAATTAATTCCTGTCTCAGTCTTGCATGACCAGTGTTTGCCTTGTCGCATGTGTTTGATCCTTATTCAGTCTGCTCGGATCCATTTTTCCAATGCCCCGTGTAATCTATGCTATGGCGGAGGATGGCTTGCTTTTCAAAACACTAGCTCAGATCAGTCCCAGGACGAAGACCCCTGTAATTGCCACCCTGTCGTCTGGTGCAGTGGCAGGTGAGATCGCTCAGGAGTAAACTTTTATAACGGCACAAAAAAAGAGGAAACCTTTTTTAACTATGAAAATTGATGACAAAATTAAATTTTACTTGTTATGTTTGTTTCAGCTTCTCAAAGCTCTGAACTTTTCCTACACATTCTGTGCTTAAATCCATTTTACATTCTGAATTTATTTTTGAACTTTCCTCCATCATTTTTTGAGATGTACCCTTGAGGACCACATTAAGCACCATCATCCTTTTATAAGTGATTGTTTTAGTTGTGGCTGCATGCTGGTGGGCTAAATCATCTACTGCTTCATTTATTTCTGGGATGGGATCTCCCTGCCAAATTTCACAATTCTGCACCCCTTCTGCAGCTACTTTTAAGCTAAGCAAGTAAAATAAATTATTAAATGGAAAATCCATCAACCATAGTGCCATGCTTTTTAAAAAGCCTCTGTAAAGGAGTGGAGAAGGAACTATGGCAGATACAATTCCCTTCAGTGTTCCTGAGATATTAGAAGCTGGGTGATTCCACATGTATATGTCTACACAACAATGCAGTTCTAGTTTTGAGTGGGTGTGGCCTTTAAGTAATAACCTATAATGACCCATTTAGGTTCCTGTGGTGCCAAGGGTACAGGAGTTACTTAACAAGTCTTGTTTCATTCCATTTTGGGCTTGCTTACAGTACACCCTTGTAGTTCTATAGTGCTAAAGGCAGATTTTCAACATCCATCATTTTTCTATTCTAGCCTGCTGGGCTCTATGTTTCCTCTTCCCCGAATTCTGTTTGCCATGGCAAGAGACGGTTTACTATTTAGATTTCTTTCCACCGTGAGTGAACGGCAGTCGCCAGTTGCTGCCACGTTGACTGCAGGTGTGATCTCTGGTAAGATGTGATAAAAACAGGACTTCTTGGATCGGGCTTGAAAGGTTTGCATGCAAGTTAATTTATGGAACCAGCCTGTAGCTTTCTGTGCATGTAAGTCTTGGGTGAGCTATTTCCTTATTTAAAAATTCAGACTTAATTGTACATGATTGTTGGGTAAATTAATTATTATTAAAATCTTGTTAGTCTTTTTTTTTAACTACTTCTTAAACAAAGGTATGTGTGCATGTATTATATTTTATAGCAAACTATATAGTTATATCCAATAAGTTATGGAAGACATTCAAAGTGTACATGTTGCTTATAACATATATTAGTTCTTTGGACTGAATCAGTATGACTATGAACCATGTCATATTGATTCACATATGAATTCATGCCATTAAGCTGTTGACAGTGATGTTAATAAATGTTAAATAGACTGATTTCTACTTTGGAAATGTCCAATCTATATGAGTGGCATGTACACTTAAATAAATATATTATCTACAAGCTTGTGGACTTTAGCAAATTTGTGGCCATCATATACTTGTGTCCTCAACTTCTATCTCTTTACTTGCCAGCAATACAATGTAGTATATATACAGAAATCAGGAAACATACTAATGCTATATTATTTCATGCAAATGCCAGTGATGAATGCTTAGGATAGTGAGCTCTGGTTTGCTAGTATTTCAGGCTATTCACTTTGTTACATACCTTCCTGCTTTTCAAAATGAAAACCCAGGACATTTTAAACCACACTCTAGTCCTTTGAAACTCTGCTTCCTATCTTGTTGTATTAGAACAAAGTACTTGTATTTTTTGTAAGCCCCCTTAAGCTCTAGGAGAGAAAATCAGAATTGATAAGAGATCTGTCTTAATGGAAACAGGAACAATTCCAAAAGTATATTTCAGTTTAATAGTAGGGGCATTTTTTTTAGTAACTAAAGTCAAGTGTTTGCAAATTAACACTAACATACTTTTTTTTTAGAATTGATAAGTTCCATTGTCTTCACTGTTCCTGCATCTCCTAGAAAAAATAAAAAAATAAATAAAAAAAAAAGGTATTAGCTATGTCTGTTGATGCAAACTTTCATATAAGACCTGCAAGTCAAACCTCAATTTAGTATTGTCTTACTGTTTAATACTCTTAATAAATACCTAAAATATGCAAATAACCTGAGATATTCTACAAGAGATGGCGAGTGAGCACATTAGTGTATGTATATAGACATATTGTAGCCTCACAACTGGTATGTAACACAATTATAGTCTGTAGAAAGTCACATTTCTACTATCTGTCTCTGAGCATACCTCAAGAATTCTATTTTACACATTCATCCCAGACCAATATAACTTTTTGGACATATCTGTTTTATACCTAATAAGTCAACTGTTTTCTGTTTTTGGCTGTTTTGTATAGCTGGCAAAACAGTCCGAGGTTCAGGAGATTGTCGGCAGCCTAGACTTGAAAGAGGACAGAGTAAATGATGTTACTTGCTACAGATTTGTACTTGGTGCTTTTTCATGTAAAATGTTCATCATGGTTTACTATACATACAACTAAATTAACTATTCCCATACTTTGCCCTATGACATTAATCTGATAGCCCATCCTGCATCTAAAGTCACCAAATGTGCTTTATTTTCTCTATGCTGGAATAATTTGAAAAGGTGCTTATTATAATGTTACAAAATTAAGTTGAAATCATCATTAGTTATAAAAAAAAAAAAAAAACCTGATGACCATTTTGCAGATTTCTGTGTTTTTTTCATACATGTACAATATGGTGTTGCATGCAAGACTTGTTTTAGAATTGGTAAAATATTTTTGCATGTTTTTGTTAGTATATTTATTATAAAGTATATAAAACCTTTTGTATAATCTGTTATTGTGCATGCAAACTCAAAACATGACAGGGGGAATACCACTAAGTGTGTCTGCTTCCGAGGTTTGAAAATAATTTGTACTATTTAATGAAATAATATGATGCTGACTTAATAACCCCAACTGTTTTGGTGTATTAGGGGGGGCGGGGGGCTTAGTTCTTTTTAAACGATACCTGACTTACCATGACTACCTTTGTAATGTGTAATGACTCGCCACCCGGCTTCCTTATACCGGAAGTGCTAGTATCGGGATAGGCATCGAGAGCATTACTCAGTATCAGCACCGATACTGATACTAGTATCGGCATCTGTGCATCCCTACCCATGATCCTCTAGTTGTGACTATATGTTTAGATCCATTATCACCATGTCTCCCACTGTGCATTTAGTTAATCTTTTAGTCTGATAAATACTTTTTTAACCCATAAAAGGCTTTTCAGCTATTCGATATTCTACCACATCATTAATTTAATAGAAAGATGGATGAGAGGCCAGTAGATGTCACTACATGCATTAAGCATGAATCTTTTTCACTTTAAGTTTCAGATTGTACAAATTAATTCTGCAGTTATTACTTTTGGCCCAAGAAGCAAATTTAATGTGTGAATTGGGCATCATTACAGTAATTCTCCTGACCTTTAAGGCCGGTACTGATCTAAGTATGTCTTGATGTCATGTTTCCTGTGGGTTATAAGTTTTTGAAGGATCATGAAAAAATATGATCTAAATCAGTATAAATAGAATGATCATATCAAGTTATTTCCAGTCCTAGTTTCTAATGTAAATGGTTCTAGTCACATTCTAAATGCTAAAATGCTTCACTTCCTCTCTTTTTTAGCCATAATGGCGTTTCTGTTCGACCTGAAAGCTTTGGTTGACATGATGTCCATCGGAACACTCCTTGCCTATTCTCTTGTGGCAGCCTGTGTCCTCATTCTTCGGTACAGTAATTACAATTTAATTTATTTAATTTTCCCTTAGAGCAAGGAAGGTAGGAGAGTATGTTCTTTGTCTTTATAGTACTACTTACTAGTTCTTCTGCCTATTCCCTATCCTTTAGTGATTTAACCAGTGTTTCTGCTGATTGCTTATCTTTCACAGTATAAACAAAAGGAATCAAAACGTGTTCTAACAAAATAATGGAAAATACAGCATTGCCTTTTTCAAGCTGATGACATTTAGGTATCACATAAAACCAAAAAAGTATAGTGGGTAGAACCATGCAAACCATTTCATTGTGAACCAGAATCCAGCTGTGCATTACATCCAAAACTCCTGTTTCATCGCACACATACAAATTAAGAAACAGCCTCCGGTAGTATGTTACTGAATCTAAGGGTTGTACACACAGTATATTTGCATTTAGATCGTGGACTTGTTTTGTACTAATAGTTGCTCACTCATCAAGCTTACTTGATAAGTAATTTGTATTGTGGCTTTGGCAAAGTTGTGGATCCCAAAGAGTGGTGCTGTGTGGATAGGACATAGCTTTCCTAGCAGAGGTTATATCAGAAGTTTATGGCACAGATACTGCCTAAAAATAGATTTGGGCAGGTATCCATAACACGATGGATTAGAGCATATTCTCATGTAGTCCACTTCTGACAAGGCACACTCTGACTACACCCTACGTCTATTGATCAACTCTGCACATGGTTATCATACTCCTATGACCCCTCTGTTGTCAGCCATTGTAGATAATAGGCACAATCACAATAATGTTGTGGCTGAAAGCCTATGATATGATGTGTATATGATGTGACAGCAATCGAGTCAATAAACCGTTTTTGACTTGAAATTCTATTGGAGTGCGAGTGACTTTATACATATACTTATCTTGGATTGCAGAGGCATCTGCAGTCACTTTGGCACCCACCCGACTTATTATTCGGTCAGGAGTGCGATGGGTTCACTGGATTGTGGCTGAAAGCCTGACACAATATGTGTTGGATACTACATAAGATGGATGATGGCTGCCAGGAAGGAAGCAAGATATTCTTCACATGGCTCACTCTTTGCCTGAGATATACGCAATGCTATATTTCCTGATATATATAAGTAACGCAATACTATACCTCCTGATATGGATAAGTAACACAGTGTGATACCTCCTTCTGATATATATGCTTACACCTGTTTTTGAGAAAATAATTCTCAAAATACTGACAACCTGGCCACTGTTATTGAGGAAGTCAATATAGTCATGTGCTGAAACTTTGCTCTGACAGGAAATAGTTTAATGAAGTTAAAGTCCAGTTCAAATTTCTTTTGTGGGTTTTGAATTCCCTATACTCCCTAATGGATGATGGACTGTAACAAGAGTGAAGAAAAAATCAACATAATAAGTAGATCCAGAGATAAAGGCCGTTTATGTGCAAATCTTGTCTCTTCCTGTAAAATAAAACTTGGCCCCACAAATCCTGTCTGACGAAAACTACCGAAGTCAGTATAGAGAGGGAAGGAGCCGGTCAAGATTGTGTGGTTTTATCTGCCTTCATCTCTGGATCTACTGCACAAACTGTTAACTTTCAGGCTCTCTTTCTCAGGGAGGGAGAGAAGAAGAGTCACTCTTCTGATCATTCAGTTAATCTGAGCTTGAGCTATTGTGCTCTATAAACAAAAGTGTTTTTTACATAGCAGTTAAGAAGAGAGAGGTAAACTTGCAGAAAAGTCTAGCCAGGTTGAAAAGCAGCTTGAAAATCCACATTTTTGCTCAACATGTAAATATGAGATGGTAATTTGCAATATTTCATATTTACCGGACTAGAGTAAAAAACTGTATTTTATTTATTTGTGAGCAAAAAATAATAAGCAAAAAAAAAATATTTTTAACTACTATACTTTAGTATATATTATAAGAAATGTTGTATGCTATTCATTGGTGGTGTACTGTCACTGTAAAGGAAACATTTACATCAGCTTTTCCAGTTCCCATGTGTCACCTTTCATTTGGACCCTTCAGTGTGTCCAATCTCTGTCCTTTCTATTCCCCTTTGTACATTCCAAATTTAAATGTATCCTTAGTTGCCCTTGCAGCTGTGCAGAGCATACAGCAAAGTATATCTACCACAGTAACAATAGTGTTAAATGATTGTGTAATTGGCTGACGTGATAAAATCTTTCTTATTTTATAGGTTTGTTGTCGAAATACAAACAGTTTTTTAAAGAGTCTTTTATGTATTTTTTTTACATTTGTGAGTATAGATTTTGTAGTTCGCACCTTAATACAATTTATTGCAATAAGGTCTCATTTTCTTGCGGGGCATCTATGGTATGCTTTAGCTATGTACAGAGGAATGTAAAATATACTGTATGATATATTTAAAAGTAATCAGCATTTTATTTATTTTTTTATACTTTTACGATCACTTTTTTGTACTTTAGTAAACAGACTAAATCTAATAAAGTAAACAACCCGATGATCTCAGCCTTGGGCGAGATTAGTCCCAGGGGACTAAAGGGTGGAGATCGGGATGGAAGCTAACTATTGTTTTCTACTGCATCTTTACATTCTAAATCAGCAAATACAGATTTTAGTTTAGCTGAATATACAAACTATATATTATTGTTCTTTATTATTGTCGCAGTCCGAGAACTAGCCCTGCTCCTTGATGCAGCTGCTTTCCCTGAGATGGACTGAGACTGTGGATGCAGTTGAGGTGAGGCAGAGATGCCACTTAGACTACAGGTGTAGTTAAGGTGCAGCGGAGGCTGGGATGCAGTGAAGTCTGTGGATGTTGCAGAAATGCAGCAGGGCTGTGGGTTCACAGGAGATTTGGCAGGGTCTGATGATGTTGCAGAGATGCAGCACAATCTGTATATGGTGCAGCAGAGATGCGGCAGAGTCTGCAGAAATTGCAAAGGTAATTCAGCTGCAAAAGGCTGCAGCAGGGACTGCGGGTGCAGGTGTGCAAGCTGCAGGGGTCTGGCAGAGACAAAAGGCTTTGGTAGGCTTATAAACTTGAGTTTATAAGCAATATAAACTCAAGTTTAAATAAATAATTAAGTCACGTGGCACGTCACATAAAACCTACAAGTGCCCACAGCTGAGGAGATAGAGGAGGCGCTGGAGCAGGGACGGTAAGTGACCGTGACAAACATGTACTAAGCCAGGGGTCAAAATTTCAAGTCCTGAGCTACTAGCCCTGCTTTAAGAGTTCAGGGGTGTGGAATTCCTATCGCCCGACGCCCGGGGCAGGCAGTTTCGGGCGCCGGGCAAGTAGTTTTTTAATACATTCAGCCCTGCTCCGGACAAGCAGAGCTGAATGTACAGTGGGAGCCGCCGCTCGTTTTCATACAAGTGATCTAATCAGATCACTTGTATGAAGCGAGAATCGGCGATCCTGTGCG